CTACTGTAATATCAATGAATAAATATATAGAGAGAAAAAGGTTAGGTAAAAGGCAGGAAGGTTAACCACAAGAAAATTTCTTATTTGCTACCCTCCACTGGGGAAGGGGATATATAAAAGTAAAGAGAAAAAAATGAATGGTAAAAAGAAAAGAAAAAATGCACACACACTCAAGCACGGGAGTGTCAGCCGTTTTGAGAGTCAGGTTGACCGCAATACATTCAGCAGCACCTTTGTCACTTTCTTTGCCGCTTATAGAAGCTGGAACCGTCCTAGCACTCCAAAATTGACTGCTCGGAAAGTGGCCGGCCTTCGAGCTGTGCTAAACTTGCCGAAAGCTGTTGTCTTTGAGAGCTGTAATGAGGGCAATTACAAAGAAAGTGTGCAATGGTTTCCTCCCTGCCACAGTGATCACATGCAGCACTGTCTTCCATTCTGATTCAGTAAGCAAAACTGTTCATGAATGACACTCCAAGCCACAAGTGGCAGATAACGGTTGTTTTGGATCATGAAGAGTAAGTAGTGCCCAGGTGCACTCAAAGAGGCCTATTCATCCTGTGTGAGGAAATTCCATAATTTAATTTGTAATAGTATACTTTGCTTCCCTCAGCAAGAACTCCACTACTACACCAAATCACCAGAGTTACTCTCTTCTCTGTTGCATTGCGTGCTCAACTGTTATATAAAGCCCCTCCAACATGCCTCCTGCACAGAAATTAAAAAAGAAAAACAGTGCCACCAGTTGATTGATTGATGTATGGGGTTTAACATCTCAAAACTACCATACGATTATGAGAGACTCGGCGCCAGTTGCTGACACAAAGAACAATAAAATTGGCTCGTGGGAAGCTCAACTTCTTTCGTCAGGCAGCTGTGCAGTTATCAGATGTGATGTAACTTTATTTCATGTGTTGCATGTTTCAGGCACATTTAGTATTTAGAAGAGCTAAGAAATCTACACTTGCCCCGCGGCGGTGGTCTAGTGGCTAAGGTACTTGGCTGCTGACCCGCAGGTCGCAGAATTGAATCCCGGCTGCAGCGGCTGCATTTTCGGTGCAGGAGAAAATGCTGTAGGCCCGTGTGCTCAGATTTGGATGCACATTAAAAGACCCCAGGCGATCGAAATTTTGGAGCTCTTCACTACGGCGTCTCTCATAATCATATGGTGGTTTTCGGATGTTAAACTCCACATATCACGATATCTATATTTGTTTTGCACATGCCAAGCTGTAGCAGAGGATCCAATCAGCTCATTCACCAGACACATGCAGAAAATTAAAGTGAGTGCTACAGCACTTTGTGGTGCCAACAAACATCAACCGTCACAAGCAACAATGAATGGATCTAGATTTTCCCTTGTCAAATTTCATTCCAGTTGAACAAAGAACAGGTAACAATGCTGGATATGCACTATTCATGGATAGGATGCTAAATAAAAATTGGTGTCCTTGAATACACAACCACTCACAAAAATTTGTAAATAAGCTACTCTGCTGTTTTTATATTGGATAACACAGTGTGCCATGGCAGCCCTGAGAAAACACAAAGATCTGCAGCTGTCTTTTTGTTCCTTGCTTGCATTTATACCCTGCAGAAGCCAGCAAACATGTTTCCCACCCACTTTTGCGTATAATCAAAAATAGAAGACAGCAGTCAACTAAAGGTTCGAAGATGCAACGATAATATGGCTAAATCCACAAAAATCAAGTACTGATGCGAGAATGCTATCAGAGAGGCAAAGGCCGCTCATGAATGTTTGCCCACAATGAAGTGGGCTTCGTATATCTGATTATGAACACTAATACTGACTGAATTTGATTCTGCACACACTTTACTGCCTTGACATTATATAGGCAAAAGTCTAACATGGAGAAATTAGTTGCAAGAAAATGTTGCAGCCCTTACCATGAATGCAACAATCCTCACCGTACTTGTGAGCTGCAGCAAGCTTAAACAGCGCCATAGTCAGAGCTTGTCTAGCCAAGTTTTTCTTCCCTTGTGTGATGCAGAAGGGCGGAATAGCTTTCCAAGGTCCTCCATACACAATGAAAACTGTGCTGCAACACAACTAAAAACAAGACACTCTAGCCCTAACAATTTTTCCAGGAGAGCTCATTTGATACTACTAATTTTCCACAAAGGCTGTGATGTGGACCATTAGTATTTTTTTTTTGCAGTGCCAGGTAGACATTACAAAAACACCTATGCACATTAACTTCCGGTCTCTTAATGTTACGCCCAATAATTATTGTTTCATCACTCTTGTGAGATTGTTCACTTCCCAAGTTTTTTTTTTGTTGTTTTGTTAACCTTCAAGTATCTGGTGCAGTGTAGCAGCAGAATGCGAAGATTACACTTTGCAAAGTATCAGTAAGTTAACAGTTAGGCCTTCGTGGTGCCAGCCATATGCACTTCAACACAATTTTATTTTTTTCCTACCTTACTAATGGCCACTATTTAAGACTGTCATGCATTTATATAGCTTTTCTTTCTTCTCCTGTTACCTTCAGATGACTCAGGTCATATATAGCCAAGTGGCCTAGATAAATGCACCTTTGTGCAGATTTTAGAGGCCAGCTTCCAGACAAATTTTTACTGAGCAAAGAGAGCATTGAACATTAACATAGTATTCTGCCTATTGGTCCTTGAAACCTATCTTTAGACTGTCTGTTGATGTGTGCAACATTACGTCGAATTGGCACCAGCCTTCTTACACAAGAGAATGTTGCCCAGAAATTATTGGTTTCCAAGAACACCGTCATTAATACTTACCTGCTGGTCCTTCACAGCCCAACAGCCAAAATAATTCTGAATGCACTAAACGGTACAGCACAACAGGAGAGGCTCTGTTTCTTGCCTAACCTCACTTTACAGTGAAGCTGCATACTGCAAGGGTTTCATGTATCCTTACTATGAGTAAAGAAAAATGTGTGTTCCACACAAAATGGCCAAACTCCAGCACTCACCACCGGCCCAAATGCAGCAAGCCAGACGACACATGCCATGAATAGGACAATATGGCGAAAAGATGCAAGTAACATGCCATACAAATGGACAAATTTAAAGGAGCACAAGCTGAATTCAGAGGAACTTTCTGGACAGAATCAAATTTAGCTGCAGTGTGTGTGATCAGCTATGGTTTGGAATTTTGCATCATGTGCTAAACAACCTTGCTGGTCATCCATCTTCATAGAGTGGAATCACTCAGAATTTTTATTAATAATTGCTTTTGCTACTTTTGAAGAGTTAAAGCAACTACGGCAACTTTGCAGGTATTTGTAGAAACATTTAAGCTGTTTGCTTACCCCTGACTATGTAATGTCTCCATGACTGCTGGCATCTACTGAATTGAATGCCTTTTAAATTGAGTGAAATCAGTGTACAGGCCTGCCCTGTACTGCACACAATTAAATTGCCTGAATGATATTGATGCGATCAACAGCTGAATATTTCTTGCTAAGCCAACCTGTTGTCTGAGTGTACATTTTGTACAAGCTAATAGGCCTATATGTACAAATATTCAATGTATATTTTCTGGTAGATTCATGAGATGTCATCTTTACAAGTCTTCGGTAAACTTGAGGTCATCAGGCACTGTGAACGAATGGCCACAAAATACAATATCTTCCCTTTAACCCAGATTTCTTTTTTCTTTTTTTTTTTTTCAAGTCAAGTATTTTTCCATCTGCCATTTTTCCCATCAGTATGCCTTGCGCTGCCACGGGTCCCATCACCTATTACACCACATTTAATCAAATCACTGTTCTGGGAACTGTACAATGTAGCTACCATATTTATATCAATAAAACAGGCAACTTCATTTTGTTTTCATTTCTTGAAATAATTTCTCAATTTCTTCCAACATCAAACTTTTAAGTACAATAAATTTTCACCTTGTCAATTCGCTTCAGTTTTATTGTAACCTGTCATTTGTTAGGTACATTTTACATGAGAGAGCTTGCCCATTAACCGTATTTTTGCCTAACCTACAATTTTGATATGGGCATGTGAAATCATTTTCACATTTCATAAATTACATATATGTTATTTTCTTGCTCTTGTTCTACAGATTTATAAACATTCATGCATGGGCATCGGCAGGACTTGGTCTTGGGGTACCCGTGTTGCACGATGGCTGAGGAAGGGGGAGAGTGCTGGTATAGTCTGGCTGGGAGCAAGTACTGCTGTGGTTGGGGGGGGGGGGGGGGGAGGGCAAATGCCCTTTTTGCACCCTCCTGCGGACACCCATGCATTCATGTGCACAAGCCTTCATTTGCTATTAGCCCACTTCTTCCAATTTTTCCTCTTTCAATATCAGGCAATCTTGGAGTTAACTGACCGCTGATGATTACCCACTACAGAACCTAACAATTGTACATCTTACACAATCTAACACTTGCACCTCCTACACAACTCTGTGGCTGGCACAGAGTATGCAATCTACTTAATACCTATTTTTTTTGGAGGTCCACTTCCTACAATGTTACTTCCGTAAACATCATTCATAATTCATAAGTATTGGTTTTGCTCTACAGTGAATAAAAGTGCTAATGCAGCACTTTATGAATAACAGCATTATTTTTGGGCTAGAGTGGTACAGTGCCATGTGGACATTTTTTAGACGCAAGCACATATGAGAAATGACAGCTACCACGATTGAGGCAGAGAGTTTTTGACTTTGGCATCAATACTGCTCAATGTTCTGTTTTTTTTCACATGCAAGTAGTGTAATTACAGTGGGCAAATGTATGCTTTTAGATTACTATGTTGCATTAACATGAACTCTACCAAGACCAATGGGGAAATAAATGACAGAGGACGCTCAATCAAGACTAAGTGCTTTTATGTACCAATCATGTGCACAACTTCCATGAGCACGACTAGATTATTTTGTATATATTTGGAAGGAGACAAAAAAGAGCATTATATTTGTCCATAAACCATAGCAGCAGCAACCATGCACTAGTAAAAATTTTTAGAGCACAAAAACATTCACAAAATACAAAGCCAATGAAAGTGTTTTATTTTTTTATTATTATTATTATTACTATAAAAGTGATCTCTGTATTTACATAATGGAAGCATCAATGCAGTCAAAATCTTAGTTGTGTTTCACATTTGCTTTCATATTTCTTCTGACTGCTTTCTTCTTCTGCAGCCCACGAAAAGTCTCAGCTATTAGAGAGAGAGAGAGAGAAAAATAAAAGCAACATCAGCTCACTAGCAATAGCACAACAATGGAAATAGTTGCAGAGGTTTTTGACAAATACATGAATTTTCAAAATGTACCGCCAGCAACCACCAAGATTATATATACCTGGGGGCCCACAATGTGCAAGCTCAGTGAAACTGTTTGCAACAAGAACAGGGTCACTATCTTGTATCCACTGTACCAAAGAATGTTCATTCTTGCTAAATGCCAAGGGTCGGAAACCAGGGGCAGTATTATGTGGCCTGAAGCACGTCATCAGAACCTATTGCCCCTTCTTGTGTCAATTCCTATATGAAGGGCGACATGGCAGTTGTGACTTCACATAGAATCTTTGTATGTAACCTATGTTATTGAACTTCAACCTTGTGACATGCATGCTGAAAAGAAAAATAAATTCTATTCTAGTTTTATACATGATTGTAAATGCACTGAATATTTCCTCTTTGCCTGCAAGCCCCACTCACTCTCCGATCTGCAGCCTGGCCTGTGCCATGTTGGCATCATGCAACTTAGCCTTCCGCTACAAAAGGTAGCCAACCCCTGCCGTCTGCGATTGGTTGATACTTGACTAACCGTCGCAAACGGGCACCTTAAATACAAGGCTCAAACAATCACGAACAGTGAGGACGAACTAACGGTCACAAATGGGCACCTTAAGTACAAGGCTCAAGCAATCACAAACAGCGAGGACGAATATTGTAATATAAAATGCACAAGCTACATGTTATATAACAAATACTTTTTGTGAATTTTCCATTCATGTGAAAAGACACTCAAGTAATACAGGTACGTATCAATAGACGTCACAAAAACACAGGGAGCCAAGCAGTTTCTCTAGCCTGTGGTTTGTAGTGCGTTGGGTAACAGTGACTTTGAAATTAGGCGCCACCCAACATCTACATGAGCCCTCTGCTCACAAGACAATGCCTATATTGACATATTTGCGCTGGAAGTACATTTTGTGCTGTTGCAAAATGGAGCAAAGGGTGCTAGAGTGGTAGCATTTATTTTGATACATTTATATCATCTTTACATCGTCTTCAGTTTTTACACTAAATAATGACCCCATCAGCATTGTATCATAAAAGACGTGTGATTGGCATTTATTGATCTTTCATATCATTCATGCAGTATATCCTATATTGCTATGTAGATTTGAACATCTGCACCCTGCAATAACGCTATTCACTGTTGTACATGGTGTTGGTTCAGATCTTCTTTAGTTGTAGTATATGAGTGCCTGAACATCACCACCCAAGTTGTGCTCTCATTTCCGATAACTATTTTTGCATCACACTTGTTAAATATGGTATACTAACATAATTTCTGTAGGAGGAATGAGTAGTCAAGTTGTGTGTGCGTAGCACTGAATTTAGCCATCCCAGACATTTTCTGTACTCCTACCAAATGATGCATTCGCGGTAATGCAAGTGGTAGAAAAAGTGTTGAAAGTTCATCTCATGCTATTTCACTAGAAAGCATACAAAGCCACTAAAATGCACGAATTTTTAACATGAAAGTGTTTTATGCTGGGGTCCACCACAGCTGTGCTGACGCATTTCCGTATAGATATGACGTAAAATATTTACTAACAGATCGCAAAGAAAAAAGCACGAATAAAAAGTTCTGTAGCAGGGCGTCGAACCAGCGACCTCGCGATCTCCAGTCCGTGGCGCTGGCCACTAAGACATGCAGAGTATGCAGCCTGCACTGCTAATGGGAAGCCATTTATATACACCATACACCATTTGGCAGTCCTCAGGGCACTGCAACTTCAGCGCGTTTTTGTCATCAGTGGCGAGATGGTGCGACGGGCTCACATTCGGCACGGTCGTCGCCTCTGAGTTTCTCTGAGCTCTGCCTCCATGGAGCAGGGTCTCTCCTGCGTGTGCACTTATTAGACTGTTGATTTGGGAGAGCTCGAAGGTCACTTCGCTCGCAGCCGCATTTACAAAAGGAGCAGGCTGCTCACACACGAAGAAGAATTGTGACAGTCGTTCATGCTTGTCCTGTGTATACTTATGCATTCCTTTCGTCCATTTTTCTGTTTGCATGGTGCACTTAAGTGTCTAGCTGTGACAGTTATTAGTCCGTGCTCATCATGTGTATGCTCATTTCATGCTTGCTTATAGGTGCATGCTACAAGTTTAGAGTTGGGTGCTGTTCTTCGCGTGACTTAGTAGTTTGTTTCTGTAGCATTTATTCCTTCGCCCTTGTAGCGAAACAATGCACAATAAATGCTCAATTACCTCTGTGAAGACACATTTCATTTTCGTGTTATTCCGATTCCTCCAAAGAGGGATCAGCCAAATTTTGTGTGTGTGTGTGTTACTGGCTCACATGAACAGATGTTTACAAAATTAACACATGTCTTAGCAGGTTCAATGAATGTGCATACACAATTGCTACAGAATATGCAAAAGAAATTTTATTGGCATCGAAAAGCAAAAGCAAAATGAGTTTACATATTGCAGATGTTGTGACATGCAACAATGAGTGCTACTGGAATCTCCCTGACAAGAAGCTTGAACAAATCGCTTTTCTTTTGACAGGACTGAAAATGTTTTTTTCAGCCAGACCACTCCAGCTCTGTGGAGTTTTAGAGAGCTATGTTATGCAGTCAGTACGATGTAAGCATGGCACCCTTTTACAATTCGCAACTTCCAAGTACCATGAAAGTTGCTCCGTAAAGATGATTCAAGTTTTGGACCTGCTTTGAACAGCAAATGTTTCTGCTTGTTTTCCCGTGTTTGTGGTCGTTTTGCAACATTGTGAATGGCCCCAATATTATCATGATCCTTTTACTTTGTCAGGTTAAACGAAAAGTAGAAGAAAAAAAGAAAAGAAAAAGCTCACTGATTTCACTGCAAGCATCAATGCTCACAGCCTGTACCCTGGGAGGCAAAGTAAACCTCCAGTTCCAATTAGCGCCCCAAAGGGCCATGAGTTGTTAAGAGGGTTAAATTTAGCAGGCAAACAACCAAGGCCTGTGAATGTATGCAGGACTCATTTTACAGCAACTTCTAGGTATGCACCTCAAATATCAGTTTTTGCGCTTAGTTCGTCCGCTCGACACGGTCACTGTGCAAACAGTACCAGAACTAATTAAGAATGTGTTCCGCCTCTAGAATAAAATGAAAGGACCAGTTTCAAAACATTCATCGCATCCTTCCACATCTGAAGCGTCTTCAAAGTACCTCCATGACCTTCACATCTGCAGCAATTTTTGTTCGATATTACTTTCTGATGGCATTTTTTTTTTCTCCTTTCTGCCCCATACCATGCTATCTTTCGTACTTCTCAAGCACAGAAAACAGAAAATAGTAATGGGAACATCAGCTCTTAAACGTGAAAGTTGCATATTGCCACTGGTTTCATTTGCTGCTTGCCAGGGTTTTATTCTCTTCATATTCTTCTGTTCTTTTTATTAATCAAAAAAGCACCATAAAATCATATCGTAAGTAATAAGACATGCCTAACTTGGTGCTTGTGCTTTGGTACTGAAAAGCAACACCTTTTTTTTTATTTTTGCCTGCTTATTTTACTTCAAAATTTTGGGTGATCTGAACAAGCTTCACGGCAGAATGCAATGCAAGCAAAACTGTAAAATGAAGTGCGTTTTCGAAAATGTCTCTGACATTACTGAGAAATTTGTACTGAGGCTCCAATTATAATATTTTGTTAACGTTACAGCAGACATTGCATGCGATTACCCACAGCCAGCAATGTGACCAGTATATTTGCCTCATTTTTAATTTTGCACATGTTTACCCAATGTGATACCTGATAGTTATTTACTTGAAATAGTATGCTAGCGCTCCTGTACTTTCACCCAAAACATAAATCGAAGAGCCATCAAAGTGCGAATAATTGCACTCTTCGCCAAACGTGTACTTTCCAGTATCGTCTCTCTTGGGGCGATCATCTCAACGACCACCATGTTGGATGTACAGTTACGCCACGTACAGGTTGTGAAAGTTGCGAATAGATAGCTAGCACGTGACATTATAGGCATTGCTTCTGAACACAGTGGCATTCCACGATGGCTGCTTTAATGAGAAACAAGTTGTGTCAATCTGAAAACAACATGGCAAGAACGTCTCTGAGCGTGAAAACGAAAAAACTTGCATGTGTCGCTCCGATAACATTAATGTGACATTGCAAACGTCGCGTCCTCACATACTGGTGCTTCAGCATGGTGGTTTCAGTGACGTCAGTGCAAGCCATCTATATAGCATCGCCCATCGTGGTATGTTTATCAGAACGTGTCCTTTGCAGTGTGCTGTCAATTATACATCAGTCTTGGCTTGAAATATTTTTTTTTCAGACAAAAATCTGTTAGTAGAAGAACTCGATCTTTCCTTGAGATTACATGCCTCTTCTTGTACAGATGACTGTCATTTTTCAGTTCAGAAAAGGACATGCACTTCTTGCACAACCTGCACCCCATATTACAGTGGTGGACAAAACATTTTTACCGATTATGCAATACTGAGCTCAAACTTTCCCAATAGCTCAATGTGCAAGACAAGCCCTTTAAAAATGATACCATCTCCACGTAAGAGCAACAAACAATAGCTAACATTTTTCATGCTCTCTATAGTGTCACACGCCACACACTACACACATTGTCTCTTATTCTTCCACCATGCTCGAACATCAATGTGTATGGTTTTATAGGTTTAGATGAAGGAGCAGTGTAGGACCGCGATAAGATGTGGTCGAGCAGCAGTTTTTGGTTTACTTTCATTAACGAGTGCCGTAAGCTTGGTGAGGCATGTCAGCCGTCGCACTGCATTTTGCTCTGGCTTGCAGTATTGCTTCCATGACACTCAGTCGAAGCGTGTCCGACCGGAATATCCTTGTCCGCATAGATACCGTGTGCACGCATGACCCCTCACGAGGTGCTGCAGTGCCTGAGGCTTCCGAGCGTTCCGAGTTCCTGTCAACTCAGGAAAAAGAAACCGACCCCCACGTGAGCGACAAAAGGGGGGGATCAAAAACATCATTGTGACGACCCCTAATTGCCTCACGGCGCATTCAGCCAGCATATCAATGGGCCTCTTCAAAAACCAAGCACGTCGTGGGGACTCCTCCCATCGGTTCAGCTGCGGCCTAGCCGCATGCTGTGTTCGCGCACGCCGTTTTAGGGGAGCGCGCGTTGCGAAAACGCGGAAGCCGCCGACAACCTTTCATCCCAGTCTGGCTTAGCTTCGGTAGCTTTCGGTAGCAGCCAGGCTGGCGACACGTGAGAGCGTGGCTGATGTCGCGATGCTGGGGCGCCCGGTCGGTGATTTGGTGCGTATTGTCGCATTGACATGTCTTCAACTGCTTCCGCGTTAACCCTTACAAATGAGCTTGTAAGTGGAGCCACGTGTAGTCAGCGAGCGGGTCCTCTTACAGTGCACAGGGGTCAGGCACATGATTTCCCCGTTGACAACAAGTTGACGTGTTTCCAGGGAAGCCGTTCCTATGGCCGCAAAACCCAGTACGTGTAGCTCTAAGTCTAATGATTTGATTGATATGTGGGGTTTAGCGTCCCAAAACCACCATATGATTATGAAAGACGCCATAGTGGAGGGCTCCGGAAATTTCGACCACCTGGGGTTCTTTAACGTGCGCCCAAATCTGAGCAAGCTCTAAGTCTAGATAATGACGTGCCGCTGAGCTGGCCCTTGCCTCTCTGACTTTTTTCTAGTTTTGTTTTCTTCACATTTTGGTTGTTGTGTTATTTGGGGAGAGAGCGTGAGCCCTCAGGTACATGAAGGCTTGTGACAAGTTCCTTGTGACAAGTTCTTGATTGACCAAGGAACTGCCCTATAAGAGGACAAAGAAGCGGCGATTAACCAAGAGTTGTGTAAGGGCGCAGCACTGAGGGAATAAGAAAAGGCCCCGAAGCTCGGCCAAGGGTTATGAACCGGGCTTAAGGTGTTAGACCCCATCCGCTCTGCCGAATCCCGCAGGGTTGCCCTGCCGAAGGCGGTTCATTTCCAAAGTGTTTTCTTCTTCTTTTTTTTATTCTCGTAACTTTGATGTCCGTAATTATGTAACTTCTGTACATTCTGTAAATACAAGTTTTTCTCAGCCTTCTAGAACTTCTCCAGCGTTTCTGCTTCATCTTGAAGTGACCAGCAAGTCAATCCCCGCTATTTGCAAAGCGGCAGTACTTTTCTCCTCTCACTTTGCTGTACCGCCTCGGGTGGTGCGTCTCGGGCGCCGAGTGGTGAGAGTTGGTTTCTACAACATCGAAAAGAATTTGAATTTTGCTAGCAGATCTCAGGTTCATTACTCCACAAACTCGAGTTACCTGGCTGCAAGGTCATTCTTTGTGTTAACAGAAAATGGCCCAACTACATGACCCTATACTTCCAGGGGTGTTCCTCAAGACGAAGTTCTTAGCCCGACGCTATTCAATCTTGCACTTATTGGCCTTGCTGAATACTTGCCAAGTACCATTAAAATCTCAATATATGCAGACGACTCCTGCATCTAAACCACCGATACTCCCTTGGTGCCTTATTCGACCCACAGTGCATCTTAGTGTACCAGGGATCGGGAGGAAATCTGAGCTTTCGTCGCCCGAGCTGAGAGAACTGTCTCTGCTTCTTTTGCACGAGAAATCTTCAGACAGTGTACATATATATACCGATGGCTCCACAAACTGCCAGTGTTCGTCTGGTGCAGTAGTTGTCCCAGCAAAAGGTGTTACCATCAGCTTTAGGGTTGACCACTCCACGGCATCTACAGCAGTGGAACTAGCTGCTTTGCGCGCTGCACTTTGTGTGGTCAATCGGAAACCACTGTAACAATGGTCGATTTTTAGCAACTCAAAGGCTGCCCTAAAATCTGTGCTCTCAGCACTGCGTTGCGGGCCGTATGAACAGCTTGTTTTCGAAATTCAATGCCTTCTTCCCACTTCCCACGAGAAAGGGCACCATGTGACGTTTCAGTGGCTGCGAAGTCACTGCGGCGTCATAGGCAACGAACATGGCGATACTGCGATAGACTGGTTAATCTCCCCGCCATTCTTTTCCTCCCATTTTACCCTGTGCAACATTAAGAACATAATCACTAAACATAAAAAATAATAAGTTGGCACAATTCAGTAAACCATATATGCATGGTGACTATCCACACATTTTCTGTCCATTTAGTTATGAATTAAGGCTTTCAAAGAAGGAGTAAGGTGCAGCCCAGTGTTGAAGATAACATTACACTGCGTGGCCCACGTTTCAGTCGTGCTCGAACTGCAAGTGCGAGATGAATTATGTCAACATCCCCAAATCATCTACTGACAAACTATACAGCAGATTTCACATGGATGTGCATTTTATAACCTCGTTTTCAAAACCAATAATGAGTACCAAAGCGAACAACTGGTCGTAGTGTCATTCATGAATTCAAAACTACATGCAGTATCTTTCCGGAGCATGTCACAATAAATTTTTCCGAAATGTCACTACAAAGAAGTCAAACATTGGAAGCTCACCTGTCATTCTGCGAATCCGACCACCATAAAGGCTCTCTTCGCGGAACTGCTTAGCCTTCTCAGCAATTGGGGCTGGGCGGCTTAGCTCCACTGCTTGAAGGCACAGAGCCCTGCATTTTAAGCAGACTAGATGAGCCACTACTTTCACTTCATCAACAGCCATTATATACATGGGTGACTTGTACAACAGCATTTAAGAAATGACTTTTACACATTCACTTTTTCAGTTTGGAAAGACAACCAAGTCCACTAGCAAGGAAACACGCAAACAAACAAGATACCCTCCACACATCATAAAAGAACATCATACCTTAGTCATATTGAACACACATTTCCCATAAGCTTAGGAGAAAGAGAACATTTAGTGTAAGACAGTGGATATTACATAATAAGGCATAGGACACAAATTGTCGAGAATTAAAAAAAATTATAATAGTACTAGGTGGGGGTTTTAGATTCCAAAATCACGATATCATTATGAGAGATGCCGTAGTGAAGGGCTTCGGAAATTTGGACCCTCTGGTGTTCTTTAAGGTTCAGTGACATCGCACAGTGCACGGACCTCTACCATTTCGTCTCCATCGAACCCTTAACATGCGGGTCCCGGGATCAAGCTTGTGACTTTTGGGTCAGCAGCTGAGCACCCTAGCCACTGATCCACTGAGGCGGACTAGGAGAATTAAAAAAAAAGATTGATGCAACTTGTTTCTCAAAAAAGCTGCCACCTTGGAGTTCCACTGGGCTCACAAGCGGTGCCTATGATGTCACGTACAAGCTATCTATTGTCAAAGGATGCCATGCTGACATAGTACTGACCGCACAGCATAGCTCTCCAAAACTCTAAAGATTTTGAGCGGTTTGGCTGAAAAAACATTTAGAGTGTGTAAAGGAAAAAGAAACAAAACAGAGAAAAGGAGAAGCACTTTTTCCCGTCAGTTCTTTGATCTGTGGAAATTAAAACAAAAGCCACTGATGAAAGGCTTAACAGAAAGGAAATTTGTCGTTTCCTTTTTTTTTTCACGTATCAAGTTCAAGTGATCCATAAGCCTCCTGCAGATGCCTTAGTCAAGCAATTCAGACAAGTATTCTTTACATATAAAAAGGAAGAAAAACCCTCTCCAGCAAAATAAGAGACCAAGTAAATAGGTTAGAGATATCACTCTCCATTCTAGCACTTGCTTTTATTTTTCATTTATTGGAAATGCTGCTAAGGCTTCTGGGTTCAGCTCTGCTTAGGTGTGCTTACATAAGTATGACATCTGCATATGGCATGGCAGCAATCTGTTGTCGCTTTTTTTTTTTTTCAAACTAGCTTGATTACAGATGGTGTGAGGGGACCGTAACTTTCTATACAGGTCTATGATAATAATAGATAACCCATGCAACTACAGTCACTATTTCGTTAGTGAAAACTTGAAAACTTTATTGGAAGTCCTGCAGTGCTTGTGCTGTCCAGGCCTAAGTTTCCCACGAAGCAGTCACTGTAACTGCCCATGATTTTCACGCTACATGGGCACATCACAATTTTAATGCACTATTGACATCAACATCCATGCAAATTGCTTGCTTGCATGTTTGCAATGCCCAAACCTTGTGAGGGACTCTTTAAAAGCAGGTAAACATTTGTGACAGGTTGACCTGGATTTCCCCCTGCAATAGCTCAAGTGAGCATTCTACACAACTGGAACCACTTTAAAGTGTAGGTCCGACACCTCATATCAATGTTTGTGCCTGAATGTAATACACATCATATCAAGGTGCAACGACATTGGAAGGGCCAAAGACGACGGTTGCAAACATGGTTGGATCTCCTTCGCCCTCCTGTCTACTCTCCTGTATTTCTGGCTACGCAAATGGTTTGAGCACTCTTTGAAGTATTACAGCAGCCACATTACAGCAGGGCAATGACAATCTGTATCGACTTAAGTGCTGCTATCATTAAATACATGTGAAAATGAAGTGGAGAATGTTATGGCAATATCTGTTGCTGGTGTTTCTAGCGAATTCACATACAACTTGGTGTTGGCAAAGTATCCAACAGCCACCAACCAAGGTTATTTTCAATGCAATGTCTGGAAGAGTAGCGTGCCAGCCTGGCAACATAATTGTAACCCACTAAAGGGCTTTTGCCAACAGCTTGTACCTGAACCAGCGAATGTGCCTACAATCAATGATTAATGGCTACTGTTTACATTCATTCGTGAAATTCTCTAGAACATATGTCATTTGCTCACCCATTTGTCCACACTGCAGCTGCAGTCCTCTTCCGCCTTCTTTTTGGGGCTACTGCTTTTACAGCTTTAGTGGCACAATGTGCTTCAATTTCTGCTACTTGTTCCAGCACATCATCAGGAAGTACTTGTGCCTGCTGCTCTATGCTCTCTTCAGCTACCGAGGCTCCTACCATACGTTGGGCTGTAATACGACGAGATGACACTTTTGGCTCCAAGCTTTTCGTGCCTTGAGCAGATGAGGCCTGCTGCCCCACTATGCTGTCATGATCAGATGCTTCCTTGTGATGGTTTTGAAACGGGTCCGTTGATGGTACCGGCTGCATTTCACTTGCTCGTGCGACACTCAAGTCACTGGTGGGTTGTAGGAGTCTCCTGCGAAGCAGAAAAAAAAAAAGGGATTTGCGCAGATCATAGCTGCTTAACTTTCGTGCATCATTTGACAAAACCTGCAATCGTACAGCTTGTTCCTTGCACAGGTTACTCCTAAGTGATTGACATAACAATTTCCACGAGAATCAATTAGGCAAGTTTCACCTAATTCATCTACAGCAACTAGAGATGCAAAACAAAAATTTCCACAGAAAACTACAAGTAGCTTGGACAAAGAAGGAAATTGCAAGCAATAGCTTTTATTGAGCCTATTAACGTTATGGGTGCGATGCACGCTTATTCCAACTAGTGAAGTCTGAACCACGCTTAGCTAGAGTGACCGCCCAGCTCCCATCTTACAGTAAAGAATAAGGATATCGACGCCCTAATAGTTATACCGCATGTCTAGTCCCTGATCTAGAGTGTCAACATACACAATTTTTTAGCTTCAGCGTCCGCAGCAGGCCATTTGACCACTTTATACAAGTACGATCCACACAGTCAACTACAGTTTAACCAACAGTTTAACCATCAAGGTATGCTTTTACAATGGCAAAACATATTGACATTCGATTCCGCCACGTAAACAAGGTTGCATATCAGCAGTAATCTCTTGCCATTTCGTTCTTCCTGGAACAACTTTGTAGATTAGGAGACGAAAACGAACTGTAACAACATTTTACGTTAAAAAGATTACGCAGCACAACACATGCTCGTGGTAGCACCAGTCACACGAAACACGCGGTCACAGAACACCTACCAACGCGGTCGCACGTTAACGCGTGCCCTAAACGTGGTCACGTGACAACAACAATCCGTTCCACGCGTGCCCATGTGCGGGCTTCTACATTCACCACGTGCACGACACATTCATGTTTCGAAAACCTAGCAACGACTTGAAATTATTGTTTTTCTATAAACATAGCCCTGAGGTTCTAAACATAACTCTATGGCAAATAACGTCAACGGCTCACTGCAACGCATTTCTGAACCTTAGAGATCTAAATAAAGAACGCGTAAATGAAGAACCATAATATGAGCACTGAGCACACTGTTGAATGTAATTACAATACAAATATATTATCTGGTGTTCTCCATGAACCACAAATATCCGGTTTCGACCAGTATTTCTGAACGACCTCACTAGGGTGACCTTACCAGTGGAGTTTATGGCATCGTTTCTTGGAGTGAAGGACGTGAGCTTTTACAATGTTTGAAATCCATGCATTATATTTTTTAAGTTAGTTCAGGTATTACGTCAATAGATGTGCAATGATCTAGTGCAAACTTTTATTCAAGTTTCGGTTTTGGAGTCATCTGCTTGATGTTGATGTCTAGCGTATCCAGCGTGCTTGGTTGTCATTCATTCGTCCGGTGCCTCCTCCTCTCTGATCTTTGAATCTACTGGAAGCGTCTCAAGTAAGTACTTTCTGGAAAGAGGGTTATGTGAGAAGCAGGTGTTCCCGTACAGTACATCGTCGTATCCACAGGCTATCCAATCATCAGCGAAATTTCGGCGGCGAGGTTGCAATGGAGCTCTCGTTTAGCGGGAAGCGAGCCGTGGTGACCGGTGCTAGCCAAGGCAAGTTTCGTTCAGTTATTCGTTTGTGATGACATTACAACTGCTTTGCTAAAATTGTTTTACATGATCTGCAAGTACCTCAAATTAGTTTATTGATTGTCGCGAAACGCAACCTTGAGTAAATAAAGTGTTCATAGGTATTGTGAGCGTGCGTGGGATCCTAGACACTTCGCTTGTTACTAGCGTGCGAGTTCCCCAGCAAACGCAGTGATGCCGCGAACTTTGCATACATTATTCTAAAATTCTCTACTATCTCTTGGGACGCTTTGACCTGGGTAGATTACGTAATGCGAAGGTCAAATAACCGGTACTAGTCAGAGCGATGTAATAGATATGGGAAACGTATAGCTGAGGACGGCAGAGGGTTAGATGGAGGGCAAAGTTCCTTTTTGCCAGATGGAGTGGCGAAATCAAGACGCTCGCAGGTATAAAGTAGAATCGGCTAAATCACTGAGAGAGTACTGCATCTTGCAGTGATTTTGATTGATTTGATTTGTGGGGTTTAACGTCCCAAAACCACCATTTGATTATGAGAGACGCCGTAGTGGAGGACTCCGGAAATTTTGACCACCTGGGGTTCTTTAACGTGCACCCAAATCTGAGTACACGGGCCTACAACATTTCCGCCTCCATCGGAAATGCAGCCGCCGCAACCGGGAATCGAACCCGCGACCTGCGGGTCAGCAGCCGAGTACCTTAGCCACTAGACCACCGCGGCGGGGCTGCATCTTGCAGTGTCCGCATGAACAAATCGTAGCGACGATAAAGCAACCAGGTAGAACCAGGCATGCAAGCCGCAACAAATCCCGATAAGAAACGTTCCGTACGTACGATTGATTTCTGCATGGCCATCTGTTAACTTTGGGACACAAGGATACCAGGATAACATTATAATTATTAGTCGGTACACCAAAAATAGTAAATAGAATTAAAGTCAATATTCTCAACTTTGCTGCCTTTTCGTAAAATTGGAGATTTCGTATCCCATGATCAAGCTTGTTAATCCAAAAACATTGAACAAGACCTACGTGAAACAATGTACACAACTGCTTGTGTCTCTAATTTTCCTTTTGTTTCATTTATCGTTATTGTAATAAGTATTTTGATTCTCTTGTAAAGTCATATACATTTGGTTTCATTGAAATTATCTCAAAAAATGCCACTAAGGCTATATTTAGTTTGCCTATTTGACCTTGTACTGTGTACTGTACTTTTTGTTTGTAATTTATATCACTCCTGCAAAGTCTAACCACTGGCTTCTTGGATGATCTCCCGTAGTGAGTACAGTAAAAGCTCGTTAATTTGAAGGAGACTACATAATTGTTCAAAGTAGCGGACAGGTGCTAGAATGAACAGACATTGTGCCAAACTGTGCGGAGAGAAGCCACCTCTGGACTTGTTGCCACAAATTTGGCAATACTACACGTTTGTGGCAGATAATTTCTTAAATTAAGTTTAGGCTCTAGCAGCAAACAGGATTTATTGATCACTCATTGATATGCCACAACAAGCAGCGACTTGCAATCATGTGAGCCCTAATGCCAAAATATACAAAGCTATTTGTACTCGAAAACACGTTTATTTATGTGGTAGAGTTAAGGCAATCAAAATTTAGTCTTTCTTTCTTAGTTTGTATTAAACAATATCGAAGTTGTCCAAGGAGACACGACTAAAGGCAAACATTGCCTGACTTGGCCGTGCCATCCATACAGCAGTAGCAGCGGACAGACAACATCTAAAACCGCAAATGCATACATAAAAATCAATCATTACACTTGTTTTACTCAGACGAAAGTAATGAGTAATATGAGTGATTATTCTGGGCCAATTTCTGCGAGGAGGGAAGAAAGCCAGCGGGCTCCCAGTTTGAATTATTCATTGTAGCTACTGACGTGTTCAAATGATCGGGAGTTTTTTTCCCATGGAAATACACAGGGCTGTGCCAGTACCAGAGCATTAGTTCGGATGAACTAAGTTCAAATTAATGAGCTTTTACTGAATACTTGCCATCGCGAATAAAGCAAGTGAGCTTGTTGCTTTGTAAGCGTTGCAAGCTGCAATGAGGTTACCTGCATTTCCTTTGCAAGGATGCTATAAGCATACTAATACCATTCCATTTTTCTGCCTTATTAGGAATAGGCAATGTAATTGCACGAGAACTTGCGAAACATGGAGCCACAGTGATAGCCATTGCCAGATCGGCTGACAAACTCAAGGAGCTGCAGAAACAGGTGAGTCTGCTGAGGAAGTTAAGAGTTGTTAACTTCCTTCACCCATTTTGTCATGATTTGGTGAACAGGTGTGTAATTACCAATGAAATTCTGCTGCCCACCATCCGGTACAAGTAACTGAGCATTTTGTGGATGGGTCTTCCAAATACACAGCCAATGCATGTTGACAGAAAGGGACAAAAAGGGACATGTGATATATTAATTTGTGGCTGCAGAGCTGTACTCAGGTTTTTTTCCCAAGTGGTGCTTTGTGAGGATAGTAGTGGCCATTTTGAGATTTTCATTTGCCTTTGAGTGCAAAAAATTGCGAGTTGTCAGATGTTGCATGTAGCATTTTTTTCACCATAGGCATATTTTGCATTTTTACCCGCATGGATGTTTTTACCCTTATCATTTTTGCCCTCATCGACCTCAAGAACTGAAAATCTTCAGCTCTGCAGCATAATGGCATAGCCACTAGGCTAACATGGCACACATTGTGCATGAAAAGTGCAAACATATTATGGCATAAACATATTTGGCATTTGTACATGTAGTAACATACATTTAAGTTGTGGTAAATAGTTTGTACTGTATGCAGTGAGGCCACACTTTATGGGCAAAAGTGAAGTGGTTGAGCTTTAAAAGTAGCAAAGCTTTATTATGACTGTAGTTCAAATCACGGAAAGCATTGAATGATAACTAGGCTGTGATAGTGGGAACATTTTGTTGTTTTTAAACAAACCGCATTTAGGAACATATCGTTAAAAAGTGGTTCCTGTGAAGGGGTACATTAATACCAAGGACATTCTGCACATATCAGAAAATGCACGACCCTTTTACAGAGCTCATATGTAACTATTATACAGATCTCACATGTAAGTAGCTTCAACTTCATCATTGGTGAAGTTGAGGTTGAACTAAGTTTGTGATACAATTGCTTGTATAGATATAGATTTTCAATAAATCTGAGATTTAAACTAGGTCTATATATACTAATTGGTTTTCAATTGCAGTGTAGTGATTTTCAGTTGTGGCATGTGCTACTCATTTCCTAAAGTATTGCTTGATTGCTGATTAATTTTGTGCTCTCTCTAGGTACCTAACATAGTGCCTGTTTGTGTTGACCTTGCTGACTGGAATGCTACTGAGACAGCATTCTCCACTGTTGGGCCTGTAGATCTGCTTGTGAACAATGCAGCTGTTGCCATTTTGGAGCCTGTGGGAGAAATCAAGCCAGAGTCATTTGATATGTGAGATGTGTATTTAGTAATGAAGCACTTTTCTAAACCTTCATATTTTTTTCTTTTTTTATTTTAAATACTCAAAAGGCTCACCAGGCAGTACAGAGGGAATTGAGATGGCATAATATAATTGTAATATAATAGATGTGTGAACCTTCTGAATGCACATTCCTAACTCACTCTCAATTAGAAATGTTTTGTGCAAATTACATAGTGCTATGAGTATGTTGCAATGCTTCGAGTAGTCAGTTGTTTACCGAGTAGTCATTGGTTCACCATGTTCACTTATCTCCTACTCATCACAGTATACCTCTTTGTAGTCCACTGATGCTTACAAAAGATATTTCAGCAGTCTTTAGATGCCTCTGCCATTTAAAAAAATTATGAAAAGTTGGGGAGGTGGTTCCAATATTTAATGAGGCAGCACACCTTATCCTATTAATTATTGTCCAATCTCTCTTGCACTTGCTAGCTATTAGAACATGTGACTGTAACTAACTTATTTTTTTTCCCTGAATCGAAGTTATCCTTTGCACCAATGCAACGTGGACTTTTCTAATCCTCTTCATACAAGACGTAGCTTATGTTGTTCACACATGAAGTACAACAAGTTTTATATACTTCGTGTGTTGGTTGGACCTTTCTTGATTTAAGTAAGGCTTCTGACAAGGTCTCTTGTAATTTATTATTATATAAGCTGTGCTTACTTAGTCTAGACATAAACCTGCTCAAGTAGATGAGATCCTAATTGATTGACTACGATATGTAATGGCTAATGGTTATAACTAATCACCTACTATGGGACTATACCTGAGTACACCACAGAGGCCAGTACTTGCATGTCTCTTGATTTCAGTTTGCACCAATGACCTTACTTCTATCTTATCTACTAGCATTCATATTTTTGCTGACAAGCATGGGATATTTTGCAAAATTATGATTAACAGTCCTATGCCCAATTTGGTCTAAGTAACATTAGTAAATCAATACAGTACATGTTAGGTGGAATTATATCACTTTTTAACAAATAAGGAGCATGTAAGGGGCATTGTTTTATTGCTAGTATATCAGGCCAGTTTCTTTGTGTCTTTTGTAGGATTAAGAGTGTAAAATTTTCTTGTAAAAGTCAACTGTGTGGTAATGTTTCGAGGCTAATGCTCTTTTTTTTGCATCTCACTGCAGCTCCTTTGCCACAAATGTGAAAGCTGTAGTTAATGTGTCACAGGTGAGCTATATTTGTCTATATTCAGATTAACTTTAGATTGTAAAGATCGCATATTGCAGCGTGAAGAATTAGTGCATTGTGTTTCTGGCTCTTAAGAGGACAGGTGGAATGTGTCTGTCGTAGTGGTTTATTTATCCATGTCTGTTATTTTTAGATAAATTATCTGTCATTTTTAAATTTTTATTGTGTTCCACAAGCATAAAAGCCAGATTTTTTTTAACTACCTTTAACCCTGTCAATTGTAGAACTTGCTTGGTAATGAAAGAAGATTACTATATTTTGAAAAGTGCTTTCTTACTTCGTCGGCGTTCGTGTGAAAGCTAACATAAAATTGAAGAATGATGATGTTTGTATATATTGCTTTACTTGAGGGGTCTTTTGAGTGCCAGGAACAAATTACACAGTGCATTTTACTGCAAACATGCCAAATGGCATTTATCTGTGTGTTGTGTGAATTAAGGTCTTCTAGCCAAGTTATACAACCAATAGCATGCAACTGTAACACATTGTAAAACTGAAAATATTATTTGTGCCTTTTGAAAACCATGAAGTGCCACTCAAAGTAAATATGGAATTGATGTGGGTTGTTTAATTCTTTCGTTATCATGCCTATTCAAATTGATCACCAATGGTCGACACTTTTTGGTCATCGATTTTGGCAGGTTGAATTTGTTTCTCGTGCACCCAGCACTTTCTAGTATTTAGTTCAGCCACTCAACTTTCAGAATTTTTTTTTAATTTGCCAACTTAGGCAACATAGCGATTTTTTACAGACTTCCGCGCAAACCAATGTGAATTTGTAGTTGGAAAAATGCACTAGGTTGGCAAACTTGACAGAAGTGCGTGCCCCTCGTGATAATGCTACAGTAACATCGAAGTTCTGTAATGAAAAGGAACTTTGCAAGCTAAATATCAAATTGATGTGTTGGCTTCACAATTTGACTGAGTTGAGCAGTAATGATTGTCGGAAATTTATGCCAGTTAATCAATAGAGAGCCACTGCTAAAAGTCAGGAAAAATTAATTCTACAAATAAATATTTCCCAAGGTCCACCGCATGTATAAAGTGTGCACGTGGCTCTCACAGATAGTCTCAATTCATTCTGGTTTTGTTTGTATCGTTCAGACACATGGTCACATCTAGTGTCACAAGTCGCTCCTATTACGCAGTCGTCACGCGCGCATTGGTGCGCATCAGCGCTGCAAAGCACATGCACTGCTTGAAACTGTCTTGTGACCCCACCTTAATTGAGAACGAGCTGAGATTTCGTGGATGACAGCACCTCAGCTTTAAATTTTATGGCAACGATGTTTTGCGTCAGCCTGAGACATCCGTAGCGTTCATGGGTTTGTTTTGTTTACATCCTCAAGATATCTCCTATGCCGCAAGTGCATATAGCTTCTGACCTTTGTGCATAATCTTATAGTTACTCAGGTTACCTGCGTGGTCCACACTTCGCTAGGGCACCGTGTGGTGGCGCTGGCTGTAGAGCGTCTCCTAACGGCAAGAAGGCTTTCGGAGCACATCTTGGCTCTGACTATAGAGCAGTGCGAAACAGTTTAGAACTGCCCGCAATATTGTCCTTTTTTATTACGATATGTGCAAAGATGTAAAGGAACATGCTTGTATGCATATACTGGAACGCCAACCTGTGCTGAGTGAGGTGGCTCATGAAAAGATGTGACGCTAAATGAAATAGCGAAATTCATTGGACATTTCATATATAGAGGGATTATTGACATCACGGGTTTTCATTTATATTGGAACACCTAGAGACTCTTATCGCAAGGCAATGAAAATTTACCGAGAAAAGTGTACGAGTACACTTGTTTCTCACGAAAAACCATGCAATGCTTCACCGCATGGCATGAGCAGTGAAGCAGCACCTTGGTTCTGATTTTCTTTGTCTATGTGAAAAGAAACATATTGTACAGCATGAATTATTTTTATACTAGTCCTGGGTTATTTATCTACAAAGTGTATATTCAAAATTTTCTCTGTTTTGAATATGGGTATATAGTGTTTTTATTCCACTGTTTGCTAGCTAATGACAAAAATTTCACGCTTTTCACATTTTGATTCATTCTAAAATATTTTTGTTTTTCTACAACCTATATTTTTTGGAAAGAGCATTTTATTATGCAAAGTTTGGTATGCTACAATGCATGCTGAAGTACTTTTCAAACAGGCAAAAACGATCTTCCCGAGACATATGAAAAACGACCATTCTCGCGCGGTAACGGAAGAGTTAATTAGCAATCCAGAAACCTCATAGTGCTTGTTGTCTCATTACCAGGCCTTTGTTGCGTTGTCATGCACGTAATCCATCGATGAAAGCATTCTCCCGAACTCTTATATAATATTTTAATATTTTTACTGGTGCAAGAACATGTGCGTACATGTGGTAAACGCAGTGTAGCGCAAAGCGCCGTCAGCCACACAGCTCTCCTGACTAGACTAATCGACTGTCCCACATTTCCTGTTGAACTATAAATGAGAGAAAAAAAATCATATATGTATAAGGTGCAAGGGGTGGTACTGAACTAATCGCACATATATGCGGGCTTTCTACGATCTTTCTTTCTGTCTTTCTTGTAGTATGCAGAGGACAAAGATGTAAATAAGTTGTTCAGTTACGCTACAGCAGTGCGTAGCAGGCAAAAGACAAGCTAACCATGTACCAGCAACACAGCAGCGGCGTGATTTAGTGCATAAGCATGAAGAGTCACCCAGGGTGAGCATCCCTATGAAAGGCAGAATGCGCTTTACTCGTGGGTAATGTTAACGTTGCATAGGCGACGTGCACGGATTCAGTAGACAAGAGCGTAGATATTAACAGTAAACTGTATTCAACGCATTTTATCCGGCGACATGGAGTGTCCACCGACAATCGGCTCAGACCGCACGCAACGAAGCGCCGCTGCGTGTATTTGTATACGGGCCGCCGACCGCCTATCCACATTTGCGCAGGGATGGCCACCTATAGCCCGATCTTGCCACGAATAGTGTAATTGGAACCTCTTTGCGCTAAGAATCAATGTAGAAACAGCTTAGCATCATTGAGCTAAAGCCTAGCAGCAAGCTAGAAGCAACCAGATTAATCTTCAGAATCATCTAATTACTCTATTTCAACCCTTGCATAGCTTAGTACAAGCCTCGCACTTTTTTTTTTTTAGAGGGGAAGTTCCTTATGACGTGGCTTGTGCGTCCCTGTTGTCGGTGTGCGTAACTGCAGGTGGCACATACCCGAGAGAGCGGGTATGTGCCACAGGGGATAGACAGAAAGACGGACAGACAGACAAGCAGATGAGGGATCAACGGACCCATGGATGGACAGATGCACAGACCAACGAACAATGGGCGGATGGAAGGACGGACAGAAAATGCACCGTCGGACGGACTGACTAATGGTTGCACGGACGGACGCAGGAACAGACAGAAGCAAGAACGAATGGATGGACGGACGGAAGCACGAAAGGACGCAGGAACAGACAGAAGCAAGAACGAATAGACGGACGGAAGCACGAAAGGACTCCGTGGATATGCTGAGATTTTTTTTTTTTTTTTGTAAAATTCGCTCCAGTATTTGAGAATTGAAAGCACTAAGCCATAAAAGGGCCCAAGCAGAACTAAGCATTCTCAACTGGTAGGTGATTTCACCTGGGTCAGAAGATTGTTTATTGCAAAATTGGTGAACATAATTTTATGACATAAATTCGGTCTCATACAGTATGTCACTAAGATTGTAATGGATAAAACCGTTCACTTGCACTTAATACCTATTTCCTGGGAGAGTTAATAAATGTGTAGGCATCCAGTAAAATTGAAATGTAAGAACTGTGCTGGTTTAAATTATTTCTTTCCATGAGCTTGCAACTTTTTTTACTCATGATGATTGTGGGCAAAAGGCGGCAAAAGCAAGATGGTGTTTTCTGAGTGTACGTGAGATAAGAAACATATTCAGTGTATTTTAATTCCGCCATATTGCTGGATCGAAAAATAGCACCAATATGGACATTTTTTAAAATTATACATGTAAAGCACTAGTGATCTGCTGCAGTGGTACAGCTGAAGTGTGCATGTTTGACCAATGCAGTGCACTGAAGAAATTGTACTGTAATGCTGAAATGGTAAGTTTCTTGTCGTGGTCTCACAATTATGCATGCCAAGTTATATTTATGTTTGGACTTCAAAAACATTTGAAGTAGTTTCTGTTCTGTCATTGTGTGATTGTATGTTTCACTAGAATTTTCATAACAGCTTTCTTGTCCTTGTTACTGCTAATGGGTTTTTTGAAAACTGTGCAGCTGTGTGCCAAATCAATGAAAGACCGAGGTGTAGGTGGTGCAATTGTCAACGTCTCAAGCCAAGCAGGCATTGTGGCCCTGGCAAATCATGCGATCTACTGTGCCAGCAAAGCGGCTTTGGACCAGCTTACCCGAGTAATGGCCCTTGAACTCGGGCCATACAAGGTTGTGTGCTCCAAATGACACTTTTCTCTTCAGTGTAAATAGTACAAGCAGACAAAGTATACCATTGTATCATAATGATAACCAAACTCTAAGACAAAAAGGGCATGCGTGGGGTGTCTTTCTGCCACACAACTATTATTATCATCATTCTTGTGTACTTTAAGGGCACCGGGTAAGCCCTATACATTCCATGCGTGTTTGGGGATTATGAGGTGCCATTTTCTCTGTGACTAAAAAGGATATCCACACAATGCATATATAATTTAATTCTGAACCTTTCTCTCTTTTAACCGAAGCTGGTATTTTTTAATCTGACAAACATTAGAATTTTTGTGAATTTTTTACCACTGAGACCTAAATTCTGAGTCAATTTGCATCTTGAAAAATTTGTAACACAAGAGCTCTAAAGTGCATAATTTCAGTTTTGCTTCAGTATTTGTTAGCATATCTGCAGAATACAAAAAATAATAATAATTAACTGGTTATCTTGGAATACAAAGGAAGTAATGGTACCTAAGTAATGTAAAACATAATGTAGATATGTTCAAGTTTAAAGTTAGAAAACAGCTGAAAAGCAAACGTATGTTGCACAAACACCTTTCAACTATTTTATTAGGTAACTAGAAGCTTGGAAATTATTGAAAAAATCCACTTTTCACTTTCGAACTTGTTGTCTTGCTTGCTTTGCTTATCTTGTGAACTGTTGTGCAGCTATATTTGATACATATCTTTGATTGTGGTAACCTCTTTCCAGCAAATTGACTGTATTTTGGCTAGGTTTTAATCCTCATTATTTGGGAATTTTGGCTCATGCAATACTGCCATCATTAAACGAAAGAACAACATCCAATGTCACTATCCTTAAGACTCTGAAGCCTAAGCAACGACACCAACGACTGTGCAATGCGATTCCCATTACCCCAACACTTGCACTGCACAGTTTACACGGGCTGTTAGGTGTAATTACATCATAAATAATATTCACTTTCATTAGAGCACACCTGTCAATAAAGCACACTCATTCGCCTTGGAGCACGCTGAAAAGTCCAAAATGTTCAACAATGAAGAGCAGGGCCATAACTAGGGGGCGATCAGGGAGTTCCGACACCCTACGAAATTTTTTCATGCTTTAGCTTTTTGGGTATATCTAAAGTATTTCCACCCCTTCACACCGACCAACAGTTGCCAAAGTTAGTTGTTACACATGAACAACCTCCGAAAAAAAATTTCTTGGTACGGCCCTGATGAAGAGCCTGCTGGTGCAGGATTCAGCACCTTAGTACATTTGTCAGCATATATGAGCATTTACAAGAGAACTGTTTTGGTTTGTAGAAATTTACACTAGCTGAAGGCCTTCTGTAACTTCAGCTTTGCAATTTATCTACACATATGGCCGACACAAGGTGTAATGAAACTAGGAGCTCAAGGTGTTCGAATAGATGCGCTCCGAAGAAGTGTGCATAAGTCCACAGTGCCTTCGTCGGAGTGCCTGAGCAGTTACCTGACAGTTTCTGATACACAGACTACTCCAGACAAGCATTTTGGTTTTTATACACGAAATTTTTTTATACGTATAAAAATGAATCATAAGCACAGAGCATATATGAAGGGCTTGTCCTGTGATGTGTGTTCATTAAGCGCTTGATTTGGGAAAAGCTCATTTTCAGCCACAAACAATGTTTTTTAAGTAAAGCATGAATGCAAAGAATGCGCACTTAGAGGCACACTTCCCAAATGGCAGAGAGTAAATTGCTTTGGCAGAAGCTGGTCTGTAGCCACAAAAAATACTTTTTAAGAAAAGCGGAAAGTATGCACAAAGAGACACACTTCTGAAATCGCAAAGAAAAAAAAGGATTTTAATATTGTCATTTTTTTTCTTCAAATTTTGCCTTGCCCTGTGATTATCACCCTACATCCTGCACTACTTTCTCGTCACGAATAGCATGCGGCTATCAGTGGGACATAGCAATCTTAGTATGAAGGTAGTGAGCGTGGGCACAGTTCTTGACATGGCAAACGCGAGCGTCTGAGATGACTAGTATTGTTGTGTGGCGAAATGACTCTCCAAATACTCCAGTTTTCCTTAGATTGCATAGTGCATCATGCCATTATTAATGACAGTGCATAACCGCTCTATTTGCTCTGTGGCTCATTTCTGTGCCATGTGACTAATTCTTTAAATTTGTGCCTATTTGCTGTGCATTTTAGATACGAGTGAATTCGGTGAACCCCACTGTGACCAACACTCCTATGTCCTTGGTTGGCTGGAGTGATCCTGTCAAAGCTAGTGCCATGCGGTCCAAGATCCCCCTAGGGCGTTTTGCAGGTTAGTATGTCTTAGAATGGACCCTTCAGAGGTTTAATGAAAGAGTTAAAATGTTTAGTATATTTGCAATAGTAAATGGTTTGGTTCAATTTGGTTAATTTGGTTTATTAAAGTCAAAATTGTTACAAAATACCTTGGGGGACACTACTAAAGGCCAAGTAATCACCTGACAAGGTCGTGCCACCCTGGCAGTAAAGCGAAAAAAGCACAGCAGCAAGCATTGTTAGCACAGAATGCAATATAGTACATAATGTTCTTCTACATGGGTTCCAAGGTTAGACAAATTTAAGAGTAGAGTGCACAAATATATAAAAACAACTGTCATTAGAGTAGAGTGGTGGAAATACGAAAGAATATAATCAACTTCAGGTAAATAATAAGTTTTAAAAAGTTCTCGACTCTTTTGCAACTGAAGTACACAAAAATATAAATGCAGTACCCATGACAGTGGTAGGAACATAGGTGGAAAGCTTTCATATTCCAGGAGGTTGCGGGGTACCCAAATTGCTTATATATATATATATAGCGAGAAAGATAACAAACATGTCTTTTCCATAAAGAAAAAAACTCGCATTTTTTATGCATACATGTACATACCAAGCTTATTTTGCACAAGAACTGTGCAAATGCTGCAATTTTCATCATGTGAGCTCGTTCACAATGTAACCATAATGCCAGACTATCTACTTTTTACTGCCCAACGATATGAATTTTAGAAGCATGAAAGGAGAAGTAATGAGCAGAAACATGAAATAGCTGCTAGGCAGCATAGCCAACAGTCAATTCCACCAATTTTCTGAAACAGAAATTCCCTGCAGCACAGTTCTCAAAAAAGTCACTTCTATAAAAAAATATTGTGCTTGCATACTGTTCCAAGCTTGCTGCTTGTTCTGTGCTGCATCTCAGTGTACATAATAAACATATAAATTTAGTGTATAAAGTCGTGAAAAAGGTATGTGACCACAAAGAGTTTTTACCTCCCCCCCCCCCCCCCCCCCCCCCCCCCCGTGCCCCCTCGCCCTTGTTTTTGTGTGTGAATGTTTAGAACATTTTTTTAAAGCCATATGTTGTAAGTTGCCAGGTATGTATTTTTAAAACATGTTTTATGGCTGTAACGCTCAATGTCGGGTGCCTAAAGATGTTTTATGGCTGTAACGCTTGATGTCGTGCACCATGTTCTCTAAAAAACGCCAGGCCTGCACGGAAGGCGCAGCACAGTGACAGCAAAAGTTAGAAGAGCGGCCCTTCACAGCCTTTCAAAACATTCGTTGGGTAACTAATGCAAGCACACTTGCTTGATACCCACTAGGGCACTAATAATAATTTTTGGGGGGTAGTAGGTCGGCAATCGCATTGCTATTTCTCATAATTTTCTTGGGAAGCGTGGTGTCCACTAAACACTTGCAAATAATTTAGTGCCAATTGTTCATGCAGTCACTGATGATGATGAGGAATTACGGCTGAAGTGGGTATGCGCCACAGTTAATAGGCAAACGAGAACAGGCTTTTGTAATGGGTTGGAGCATTGGACGACCCATTCGCTACGCTATTCACATTGTGCAATGACTGGTTGGTCCTTTGCTGTTTTAAAATGCTTTATAAGTCGTAATAACGCAATTGCTTTCCCGGCATCGAGCCTACTTAAGGCAAGTTTGCCAACAAGTCCCAAGCACCAGTGTAGCTCAGTTGTAGAATACTGGGCTCGCACCAAGCGGACCCGGGTTCAAGATTCACTGTGTCATTGATGCTAGGTTTTTTTTTCTAGTTTTGCGCGATGTAGTTACGGGCACCGGCAGTGGAAGCGACAACTGCGCGTGACCCGAGTTGTGATCTCGTAACGGCTTTCTCTGTAATATTTTGAGGCATGTACCAGATAAAATAGCACTGACTGAGGTATTCGTGGCAGTATTGTCGAAGGAGTAAAAAGTTTATTTTCAAAATTCACTGTGTTACTGGGCTCTTATAAAATTATATGGTGCATATAATAATGCTATTTCCAGACTTCTTAATGTTTTGTTGCACAAACAGTAAAGTGTTACAGCAATTTCAACAACATGCATTGCTTATCCTCTTTTTTTTTTCTATCATGGTGCTTATTTGCAGAACCTGAAGAGGTCTGTGATGCAGTTTTGTATCTGCTGAGTGATCGCTCTTCAATGATTACCGGGACAGTGTTGCCTATAGATGGTGGTTACACCGCCTGCTGACACGAGTCTGAACTGTGTATCCTATGTTCTGCTGCTGGAGTAAATATGAGGATGTTTTGTTCCAAGAAAGTGATTTCTGGGCGCTAATGTATTATGAAAACTATGGTGCTATAATAAAGGATTTTACCGATTCTACCCTTTATTTTTCTTATTCTATGCAAATGGAATTTCTCTGGAAGTTGGAGGCCCTGCAGAACTTTTCCAAGTGGCTATGGAATGGACTCAGCTTATTGCCTCACGAATTCACCATTGGAAAAATTTTTAGATTCCATCCAACATGAGCGTAGTTACAAAGATTTGTCACACACTGCGATTGCATTCTCTCGTTCCGACAAAAGCGCTGGAAGCTAAGCACGAAGGGATGGTGTGGGAGAAGAAAATATGTTGTGCGCGCCTTGTGGCCTTGAGCACTTTTTCTTGTCTTCGAATGCGCGGCTTTTCGGTGTGTGTGCGTGTGTTAAGTCACGACCTCCTGTGGTTGCCCCAGTAACGACTGAGTGCCACGCTCAAATCAACCAGTGGCTGATACTCGGCCTGTGACTATGTCTGTTGGCAGTGGGGTGCAAAAGGGGCTCTAGCCCTTCCTCAAGCCTCACCAGCTTTTGCCCCCACCCAAGCTACAATAGTCGGGTCGCGGGATCGAATCGCGGCTGCGGCGGCTGCATTTCCGATGGAGGCGGAAATGTTGTAGGGCCGTGTGCTCAGATTTGGGTGCACGTTAAAGAACCCCAGGTGGTGAAAATTTCCGGAGCCCTCCACTACGGCGTCTCTCGTAATCATATGGTAGTTTTGGGACGTTAAACTGCACATATCAGTTATATCAATCAAGCTACAACAGTGCTTTCCCTTTCCCCCAGCCGCGATGCAACAGTTGTACGCACCCCCCCCCCCCCCCCCCAAGAAAAAATCCGGTGGACGACCATGCCAGTGACGCAGTTCTTTTTGAGCCTGTAGCATTATTTGTCGAGAGAAGAGAAAGCGATTTTTAGCTGACTTTGAGAATTTATTGTGAATTTCAGGCCGGGGGCAGGCTGTGCTATAATATTTGGCTCGCATGTTCTCATGAGCCTCGACTACTGATCGGCAGTGTTTTCTAATTATGGTCAAAAAGTTCTGCAGGGTCCCTTCAAATGGGCACAAATCTGTGGGTAAAAGGCACAATTTTCCACATGAGACTGACGGCTGACACATGCCATTTTATCTGTACAGCTCAGAACCCAAATGCTGCAAAGTGAATTTTTTTAATTGATTCATCACAGCCTAATGAATAAGTTTGCTGCTAAGCAGTAGTTTGCTATTTTTAACTGATTTTTGCAAACTCTAATTACAGTCACCGTCCCTTGCGGGAGTCACATGACTTGTGCAGAAATGTCTCATGTGACGTCATACTATCGCTAAAGCTTCGATGACCGGCAAAGGTCAGTGGCGTCAGTCAGAAACCTACGCCGTGCCGCTTCGTAGACCTTGCTATTTTGCCAATATCGCTACTGCCAGAACCAGAGCCAAAAGTGATCAGCCGTTCTACCAATGATGTCATATGCGACGTTTCTGCTTAGGTCACGTGACTCCGGCATGTGACTGCTATTGGAATCGGGGGCGGATCCAGCCTCTCGTTTGAGGGGGAGGGAGTTCGCCCCTAAACCCTTCATAGCATAAATACTGTTAATGTGGGGTCACAGTGGGTTCACTCACTTGTAATAATTAGTAATAGGAGGTGGACTACGAGCACTAAGGTAAAGAGGGTTGCTCACACAGACTTTGGGAGAAGGGGCGATCGCCCCTACAGCCCCACCTCTGCATTCACCACTGACTGGTATTTCTTCTGCTTCGCTGTCTAGTGTACGGAAATGCGCATCACTGCTATGACAGAAAATAAATAAAATAAAAGTACAGAGGAAGAAACACCGCAAAACATGCTTTATGATCACTGATTGTTCCACTGATCGCTTGCAAAAAATATTGCCGTCTTTTGAGCTGTTCAGAAATGAAAGTGCTGTAATTAAGCTACAGTGAATTAGCTCAAATTTAGTGAAAATTTGCTCTAAAGTGACAAAAAAATGGCAAAAAAATTTCCCAAAATACAATGCACTTTGTGAAAGCAATGAATTGGACTACACATACATTTAGGGTTGATAGATTTATTGGCAATCATAGTGTTACATAATTTATTTAAAGTACCATCTACAGGCGATTAGATGTTGCCCTCGTCCGCAATCCTGCTTTTCTTCAACTTGGTTGAATGGTCAGGTGCGCTGCAAAATGCGCAATGCGTACTTGCAACTATGCATCAGTGAAGTTAATTCAGAAGACAGCCGGTCAGTACCTCATAAAGTCGCGCAGAAGGAGTTTTTTTTTTCATGGCTACGCTGCAGCTCGGTTGGACTGCAGTGCGTGAGCGTGAACCCCAGCCTTGTACATATATTGTCACGACGTCAAAACAGAGGTCTAGCACGGAGGAGAACTACTCGACTACCGAGAAGGAGTGTCTCGCCATGGTGTGGGCGGTCATGGAATTTCATCTATATTTGTACGGCCGCTCTTTCAAGGTTGTTAGTGGCCATCACTTTTTGTTCTGGCTCACCAACCTTAAGATCCATCTGCCCGTATGGCGTGCTGGAGCCTAAGGCTTCAAGAGTTTGACATGACCATTATCTATAAATCAGGGAAGAGACACACCGACGCCGACTGTCTCTCACGGTCGCCAGAGGAGACTGTCGCTCCTGATGACGAAAACATCGACGCGGCATTCTTGAGAGTTGTTAACACGGCCACTATTGCACGAGGGCAGCGCAGTGATCCCGAGCTGTTACCACTCATTAAATATTTAGAAGGACGACGTAAAGACGTGCCGCGGTTATTTGCTAGAGGATTGCCATCTTTTTGCTTGCGAAACAATGTTCTCTATACGAAAAACTTCTCACCAACCCTTAATCCGCACTTGCTCATCGTGCCCGCCTCTCTTCGAAAAGAAATTATAGAAGCGTACCATGATGAAGCAACTTCTGGTCATCTAGGCTACACCCGAACATTGTTCTGACTACGATGCAAGTACTACTGGCCAAAGTTACCTGCCGCTGTTAACCATCACGTGTAAATTCGCACTGACTGCCAAAGACGCAAAGCGCCTCCCAGCAAGCCAGCCGGTCTTTTACATCCAGTCGAAGCACCAGCAAAGCCGTTCACCCAGATTGGAATAGATTTCCTGGATCCCTTTCCAACTTCCACAACAGGGATCAGATGTATTATTCTGGCCACCGAGCTCTCCCGTTATGTGGAGAAAGCTATGCAGCGCGGCACAGCAGCAGAAGCCGCTCAGTTCTTCATCGAAAACATCGTCCTTTGGCACGGCACTCCGACAGCAGTGATCACAGACAGAGGACCTGCCTTCACCGCAGAGCTTTTGGAGTCGGTTCTCAGACTCAGCGGTACAGTTCACCGGAGAACAACTGCATACCATCTGCAGACAAACGGACTGACGGAGCGCCTCAATAGGACTCTCACAGACAAGATCAGCATGTATGTTGACGCGGAACATAAAAACTGGGAACAGATATTGCCGTACGTGACCTTTGCCTATAATACCGCTCGACAAGAAACCACTGGAATGACACCGTTCAGTCTGATCTATGGTCGCGAAGTCACGACAACGTTGGACGCCATGTTGCTGCATGAGTGTGATGACATCCATGTAGACGCCGAAGAATTCACTCAGCGCGCCGAGGAAGCCAGACGGCTCGTGTGTGTGCGCATCTGTTATCAGCAGCATCAAGATGCACAACGGTATGACCCCCGGCACAAGTTCATTAGCTGTACACCAGGCGACAATGTCTGGGTCTGGATTCCGATACGTTGACGTGGACTGTCTGAAAAACTGCTAAAACGGACTATGAGATGGACGAGAAAGAACTTGCTTGCGCGTTCTGTTAAAAAGACTGACCTGTTTCTGGTGTATTAATCTCTGCTGCAAGACTTCTGTTTTGATGTTGTCACAATATTAGATGCTGTGCTATTTGTCGTGCAGAGAGTTATCGCACCGCAACCATGGCTTGTTCCCTTACAAACCATATTATTACCTTGAGATGAAGGTTCCACTGACTTTGTTTTGCCGTACAGTTTTTGTATGCAAGGACATTAGCACATGCTTTCACTAGTTCACTATATTTTTTGTTTATTTTATTTTTAAGTTCTGATTCGCAGTGGCTACCGGCATTTTCTTACTTTCTCTTGTTCCTCTGAGCCCCTGCTTCCCTGTGCTTAGTCCAGCTTGGCATTTTCTGTCGCCTTTCCTGCCTTTCTTCTCCTTTCTCTGTCATATCCCAGCCAGCACAAAAATTATATAAGATGGATACGAAGCGTATTGACCAATCCGAAACCACTGTCTTCCAACGGGTGCTTAAAATTCCTTAATCTGGCTGTAGCGGCCTTATATCTCCACTAATGTCCGGCCTGTAGAACATTTGTATAGGTCCTACAATGCTGCTATTAAGAGGCCACAAAAGTCTGTTCTAAGGAGATACTCAATGGCCATCGCAAGCCTTGAAAAGTAGGGATAGAAACCATCTACAATCCGGATTGTAATTTCCATTTTTTTGTTTTTCTTTTTATGCAACTCGTCACTCACCTTCTTCCCTTTTCCATGCTCTTAGTCTTGTTTTCCTTTCCTGAGTATGTGCTCCCTTTCCGGCACATATTCAGGGTAGGAGAACGAGTGACTGCCAGCAGGTTATTCGCACTTGAGGGACGTGGAAGACAACAGTACATTGACAATATTTTTATTATATCACAAGTGAAATCACAAGAATGGCCACGAAGAGCCCGCAAGTTTCGTGGGATCACCGTATGGAGCAAGAAAAGCAGAACAGAGCAGCCTGGATTAAACATGCAGTACTGTATTAGGCTCGTATGTAGACTATTTTACAGAAGTGATATGACTCGAGTAGCAACACAAAATGAACTTATATTTAATCAACTCTTCTACCATGCTATATATAATGATGGTTCTTGCCAGACATAATGCCTGTATAGGGTATTTTTGCCAGGGAACCTCAAGCATCATCGTGGGTCTGTGGTAGAATACTGGTTATCATGGAGTGTGTATGGTCAAACCTGTACCATCGTGGGTATTTTTATCTCTTT